GATTAGGAAACTTCTCGAGCAACTTCCTAGAATCTATCAGAATATTCTAGAACATTCTAAAAGAATCTTTAGGAAATATTCTAAGAATCTTCTAGAACCTTCTAAAAGAATCTTTAGAGAATCTTTAGAGAATATTCTAGAAGAATATTCGAAGAATCTTCCAATGTATGTCCATGACACTGGTCAAGTATGGGTACTGACCCTTTTTCTTAATACAAACTTATTTTATTTTATTCTATTCTAATTTCAATTGCTCTGTTTCATTTTTTGTATCCCATTCTATTTAATTTTGTTCAATTTTGTTCTAGTTCAATTTGTCCTACCTCGTAGTGAGGTTTTATATTACTACGGATTAAAAGGGTCTTAGACACTTGAGATAGAATGGTCATGTTTCACCTAATATCTAACACTAAAGCTTCTTTTTCATCAATAAAGCATAATTATCTTATTTTCTTGACTTAAGTTATATACTTAACTATAAGAATAATTTATGCATTGGCTTAGTGGTTGGCCATATTTTTTTTTTGGCCACATTTTTTTTTTTTTTAATCTAAATCTCTTCTTTGATTTTTTGAATGTATTTTTAAGCTTGCTTGAGCTTCTCTTAGATTTGTCTAATTTTAGTATTCTTCTTTTTATTGAGACATCCAATCCTAACATCTTTTTTAAGTTTTCAATTGTATTGATTAACTTAAAGTCTTCTACTTCTATTCTTTTACTCTTATCTTAAAATTTAGGTTCTCATATACATGTCTATAATTGATTGGTAGGTTGAAAATTTGGCCAAAAAACTAGCTATATATTTCATATTTAACTACTTATACTACAAATTGGTTATATGGATAATATAATAGAAATTTACTTTATAAATTAAATAAGTATATTGCAAGTTAGACATGTATTATATGGCCTAGAAAACATTTCAACATAATTCTTTAATAGATATTATATATAACAGTAAGAATAAAGTCTTCATTATCCTTATCTATAAATGTTTTATGATTTTTTTTTACTTAATACTTCTTATTTTTTTTGTATTTAATAAGATCTATTCTAATTTCAATTTTATATCTATCTTTTAGTTGTCTACACTTTCTCTTTTGGTGATATAAGAATATATTTTTATTTTTAAAAAATTATAATAATTTATTATCTTTATAATTATATATATATATATATATATATATAGATATAAATAAAAGAGACATTTCTAATTGATAGATTAAACAAAAAATAGTTTTTTTAACCACCAATAGAAAGTTGAGTAATATAAATTATTAATAGTTAGTTATTAATCAAGTTTCTTTGAGTTTTATAGTAATATTTAAAAATTTCATAAATTAGCCTTGAACCAAATTTTAATTGGTTTTATTTTTTGTTATATTTTATAAATTAATGTAAAGTACTTTTGTAATTATAATCCAATTAAAATAGGTGATATAGAAAAATCTATGTGAATGTGTATAATTGATTTTGATCCTTGGAATGTATAATTTAATCAAAATAAGTAATTTTTTGTGATGATGGAAATCTTAATGCTAGATGTATGATTGAATCTATAATTATAATTTCTATTGGTATGTCAAAGTATAATTTGAGAGTATTAAAATCAATAGGAAGAAATATTTGTATTATAAAAATATAATATAGTTGAATAATTTAATGGACAAATTTAAGAATATTGATTTAATTACATGGAATGATTACAAATTGTAGGTCTGGAATGTCATTATAAAAATGTAGCAATAGATGTTAAAGCATTAAAGCTATTGATATAATTTCAATAATTAAAATAAGACAAATCAAAGAAGTTATTGATTAGAATAAAACCAATAATCAGTCACAATTGGTGAAGAAGACTTATGAAAGAAGACCTCATTTGGTTCAAGAAATTAAATGTAATATATAAAATTATAAAATTATGAGTTATTGATTAGCAAATTGAGTAGAGAAATAGCATTACTATTGGAGTCTAAAGACATAGATGAAACAATTAAAGAATTTCTTGAAGATTACAATCCAAATTGATGTGAAGTTGATCCAATAGAATACAATATTATTGAAGATTTATGAGAAGAGAGATTATAACTATAGGTTGTGATGTACTTCTATAGGCTAATATTACAATAAATTATTAAAGCCCGAAACCTATAATATGTATTAATGGTAATTTGTTACTTATAACCTTCGGTTGTGTGGATAAATAGGATTTTGCATGACAATAGGATTTACTTAATTCAATGTTTAATAACCAACCCCCCATTAAACAAACCTAGTTCTTGTTGATTACAATAATTATAGAAAAACTACAAGTACAGTATCTCAAAGGCTACCCAAGAAGCATACAACAGATTAAAAAGAAGTCATGAAAATTTTCTATGATATTTTCTTTAAAATTGTCTGCAAGAGAATTTGTTAGAAGAAGAAATAATATGATTACCATTGTACATAGCTCAGAAAGTGAACAAATAAAGATTGGTATTGTTATTGGAGTTATAAGACAACATGCCTTGGGTACTACGATTCATCCAGCATGGTACTTCAACTCTTTTGTAAACATGGAGATATCTTGAAGGAGGTACAATTGAAGAGCTAGAACACGTGATGGAAGAACATATTAGTAGCCATATGATTAATTATCAGGTGAATCTTTTTCCATATAAAGCTTTAATCCACTTGGCATTCGTTTCCTCACAAACTTTATGTATGAATTTGTCAAACATTAGATTTGATAATATGTTTTTAATAATTGGAGGAGAGAGGGGATTGGGATATTTGGTAGCCAGCTTTTTCAACGCCGAGCAAGCCAGACGTGGTTCCCACTCGGCGCCACTGCTATATAAAGTAGTGTTCAAGCGCTGAATCTTCCAATATGTTTGTTGGTATTTTTTGCTTCTAATGTAGTAATTGCCCCTACATTATCCTACCACATCTCTATTGACCTTGATTTTAAAGATGGTAGTTTTCTACGCCGCGCATAGCGGTCCAAGAAGATGGCAGCCTCGACGGGAACACGGCCACAGTTCAGGCTCGTGAGACGCACGAACAACATCCCAGGGTCATTTTCTTTCTCTGGGTGAGATTTAACTCCACCTTTCACCAGCACGGAGGGGTTAGAATTGTGGGTGCAGACACATGAAAGCTATACGGTGGATCTCAGTTTTGGTTCATCTAATCCCAAAGCTGATGGTTTTTGGAGATCACCAATGCAAGCAGACATGGATGAATTCTTTACGAAGATGTCAATTGCCCTCGAAGCTTTCCGTGAGCTCAATTTCAAGCATTGGAAGGAGAACCGATTAATGCTGGTGGCGGGGACAGTTGGCCACAATCACCACAATCAGTATCTCACGTGTTGAGTCGTTGGCATAAGGGTTGCATAGAAATCTATTTCTGGTTGTCGGGCAGAGTACAAACATGCCGCTTACGCAGCGTACAATAAGTTGTGCAATAAGGAGCTCCGGTCCTATGGAAACCAAAATTTGAACTTGAGTCTAATCGAGGCCAATGCAATTGAAAAAACCCAGCAAGACGTGCGCTACGAAGATACAAGATCCACTGGAGTTTTGTTTTTATTTACAAGACCTATTTGTGTATCTCGAATTTCAATCGTGTTGTTTTAGTGTGCACAAACTGCCTCGTCATGTATGTATTCAACACATCAATGTTTGATTGTATGGACACCTTCTCGTCTAGAATCTTGCAAACTACATGAAAAATCCAAATTAATTCAAAATTTTGAACCAACATTTCTACTAAAAAAAACATAAAGATTTATAACACTTTAAAGTTAAAATATGTGTCAAATCTTTAGCAACAATTCAAATATTATGGAATTGTCACTAGAACAAGTAGTATTTGTAAGGTTGACTAATGATTACAACCACACTTGACCATTGACATATGATAAGCCATAGTCTTGACTACACTCATTTATAGTTGGTGTCACTATTTTGACTATAGTTTGAGCAAATATGGTAGCCGCGGCCACCATTTTTCTAGAGTTGCTAAACATATAAAGATTAAGAGTAAATTCACTAGCTTTGGCTCAAGAATTCATGTTGGTCTTAGTAATTCAATAAAAAGAAGCTACAATATTGAATTACTTTACAAGTTCTACAAAAATGGCTATTAAAATTTGTTTCTTTTCCAAACCAAATTGTTCTTATGGATAGAGAACAAAACAACTGTCTATATTGTCATTAAATCAACAAGAATGATTATATTTCAATTATTCTCTCTTAGACTTATCTTCTATCTTAGACACCTTTGTCTTTTAATTTGGTTTTTCCAAAGATTAAACCTTCTCTTTGTTTGACCAATTGAAATCATTTTTGGCATAACAAGGTTTCTTACACCTTGAATATTACTTTTTTTTGAGTATTTAAATGAAGCATTTTAATAACAATATTTAAAATACTAAACCATCATGAAATTTACATTATTTTTTTATTTTTTCATTTGAACACACAATATTTCTCCTCCTACCAACATACAAGCCCTCCACAATCACAAAACAATGCCTCTTCTATGCCACACGAAGATAAAATTCCGAAGCTAATGAGGTAGAAATACAAGAGCTTTCAACCCAACTCCCCTTCCTCCAAACAATCGGTAGAAGCATCACCCATTCAATCATTCCACTTTTCATTTTAAATCTTGATATCACCATCTTTTGTACACAAACTGTTCTCTTTTAATCATCCGACACCAACCTCAATCCAACCCAATTTTGTTTCTCAACAGACATTCAACAGTTGTGACGACACAGTTTGTTCGTTCTAAAGCACCCACGTACGAATCAGTCGAGGCAATGGCATCATGTTTCCACTTGCGCGTGGACCTTGGGCCGTGTCCTGGATGAATGATCCGCAAAGATTTCATTTTTGGAGGGGAGAAAATCGACGGATGAAACAAACGATTGTCGGTAAGGTGAACCCGCGTTGAATGTCTACGATCCGCGGAACGATTCAAGCACACGTGGTCGGTTTTTAACTGGTGGTGCCCTCTTCTGATGGAGAACTTTTGCTTTGCAGGGACTGTCGGGAGCAGTTCAATTGCGATTTGCAACAATATTGGTGAAGTTGTAATGTTGCCATTTGACGTCTGGTAGTGGTTTGTTGGAAGAGGACGTCGGAAATCGGCGTTCATCAGTTAGGGTGTGAATTGTTCGGACAATTCCGGGAGCTAGACAGCGGTGTTGTCAGCGGCAGTGGCGAATGAAATGGCACGCCAGAAGTTCGCGTTGCTCGGAATCGCTATTGTTCTTTCTCTCCACGTCTTCAGCAATTTTCTGGAACAAGTAGAAGCGCAAGACAATATATTGTTGCCGGCAGCTGAACGTATGATTTCAAACTTTTGATTGAAAGCTTCGACGCACATCACTCTTCAACACCCCCTTCCACACTGCTTTAGCTCTTGGGAGTTTGCGGTCCCATGTGGAGGGGTTGTGTTGGTGCTAAATTTCTGTTTCTTAGATCTTGAGGGTTTAGCATTTAGAATTGGGTACGAAATTATTCCGGGTGGAGGAATTGAATGCCGGATACCATTTTGAAAAACGATTTACGCCACCTTGGGTGAAATGTATGTGATCAGATAATGAATGCGTAGTGAGGCGCTATCAAGTATCTGGCTGTTCTTATGACTGACCTAGTTTGTTGATCCTCTTACGGGTGGCTTTGGCAACAGAATGGGCGCTGAGGAATCTTTTCGTCGCATGGAAGAACACCGAAGATTTGAACAGTAGCCTGCCTGGATGGACGGATTTTAATCCGGACTCATTGCCTAACCGTGATACTCCCCCGCCCATAGACGGTTTATCGACTTATGATCCCTGCTATTTTAATTCTTGGCGAGGTGTCCGCTGTTACATTACATTAAGGGATACGACACCAGAGCAGAAGAATGATAAAGGAGGAAGAATTTGGGATGCAAATGTCGTCACCATGTAAGATTCTTGGCACAACAAATTTACATGCACTTGCACTCAGATGGATGTGCTGTTTGATTCTTAGATCTTACTAGTTCCTCTTAAGCTTACCATTGCTCATGTTATTTTGAATCAGTTCTTTTGCCTCCAACCTGGTCTGGAACATTCATCTTGTATTTTGTTTGATATAGTATCCCCAGAGACTTGCCTTACACATCATCAACTTCGTCGTTGCCCCATGTTTGCAGTCCTCAGAATAGTGGTTCTTGTGCTATCTCTCCGGTGACTCACTAACTGATCGTAATGGGTGGTTGGTCGCAGCATAGTCAGTGACGAATCGATCATAGGCAATTTGCCTGAAGGAATCTGGAACTTCACGAGTCTTTCATCCTTGTAAGCACATCAGCCGCTTCTCTTGATAAATGTCATTAGACCAGTTCATGTAATTTTTTCAACCTACATCAGATGACAGTTCAAAGAGTGTCGAGAGGGTTGTATGAAGTCCTCTGATCATGTAAATGTTTGCTGGTGAAGAACCTTGACAGGAAATCCTGAGCTGAAAGGCGTTCTTCCCCCTTTCACCGGTAGTAGCCTACTCTGGACTCTAAAAAACCTGTAAGCTTCTTCTTTCCAACTTTGATCAGCATTAATTAGTTTCCCGTTGTTTCTTATTATCACGTCCACAACTGCAGAAATTTCTTGTACCCACTGACACAATACTCTAGCTGGGTTGCCAAGTGTTGAGAAGGGTAGTCCGACCAGTAGGGCTATTTTTCATGTGCTTCTACCCAGTCAATGGAAAATCAGACGGGTGTATCAAATATCCGCCTGCATGCGACCCAATCTTGTTCTGTTTAAAAATTTGGAAATTTCAAAACTGTTTCTAGACATCTATCACCATACGACCGTATTCGAACCTCACTGTTTCTGCAGAGATCTTCATGGAAATGGACTTCATGGATCCATACCTAGTACGTACGGGGATATGCTGAGTGGGCTCGAAGACCTGTAAGTGCCTGACACATATCTGTAATGTTTCTGGCTTCGGTCCTTGCAAGGTGTTCTGTCTTGCATGTTTGTAAACATTAATGACTGTATCAAAGGAATCGAGGATTACCTCTAAACTGTTTTACCTGTGCACTACTGTCAGAGATTTAAGCAACAACCGTCTGAACGGGGCACTCCCAGAAAACCTTGGTAAACTCGAAAAATTGTGGACTTTGAAGCTGTCGCACAACCAGTTTTCTGGAAGCATACCAAGAATGATTTTCCGAAATTTGAGCCGTCTAGTCACAATGTAAGCATGCAGAGTTTTAGAAGCGTTTGCATTCCACTCTAAGGGCAAGCGTTTCGTGTAGTTCTTTTGAAGCGTCTTCTTCAGTTATATAGTTTTTCAGATGTCCCGGGTATCCAGCCGCAGAGACGTTTGAATATTTGAAGGGGACTGTTGTACGTGAAAAATCTGCTGAAAGTTGGATGAGGTTGGGTCTTTAAATTCTGTTTCTATCTTTTAAAACAGGGATCTATCACACAACACGTTCAGCGGGAAACTTCCTAATTTGACCTCCGTGGCCTCTCTCAACAGACTGTGAGTGGTGGCCTTCTGAGATGTTCTGAAAGTTTTGTCCCATCGTTTGTGTTCATGTGCGGTTGTATGCTATGTTCAAGCTCATCTTTCGAGACCCTTGTTGCGAGGAATCAATGTCGTGCAAGGGTTTCGGGAGAAATCATTAGCTACAGCTGTGTGGAGGATGATGAGGTTCAAAGAGTTTGAGCAGTCCCTAGAAAGAGCGAGCTTATCTTATTAATTCCTTGGTGTTTATTGCAGGAATATGAGCTTTAATGCATTTAATGGCTCTGTGGACCTCCTTGTTAATAAAACGAACTTGGATGATTTGGACCTCTCCAACAACTATTTCACAGGCTCGATGCCAAATTTGAGCAGCTGGTCAAATCTTCAATCTCTGTAAGACATGTTCATTGTCAATATGATGCGAGCAGTCGTGGTTGTGGTGTTTGAAGTTCAAGAATTCGGAACATGTGATGAGAGGCATGACCACTTTTAATAAGCATATACCATGGTATTGATGTGTTTTAGTTAGTACAGGGAATGCCCATGAAGGAGTACTTACTGAACGCGGACATCTGAAATGATCTGGAAATGCAGAAATTTAAGCAACAACAAGTTTGATCCACTAGATATTTCTGCCTCGCTGCAAAATGTCAATGAGAATCTACTATCTCTGTGAGTGAAGCGGAACCTTTGATGTGTTGAGAGCCGGCCCTGTGCTCAGTTTTGTGGAGATTCAGTGTAGATTTCATGATTTTGTGTTCAGTTAGGAACGAATACGTGCAGCGATAGTTGAGTTTGCACTCGGCAGCCGGACTGAAGAGTTGAAATCGATCAGAAACGACAGACCAATTTGCACATGTGCCACCTCAAAGCCAGTTGCTAAGGGGATTCCTTTTGGTGTACTAAAATATTTGTAATGTTGTTGTGGAAGTAACGTTCTTATGAATTGACCTGCTGGTTGTAGGGGTCTGAGCAATACCTCGCTGCATGGCACTCTGAGTACGTCTATGCTTAAACGCTTCACAAAGCTAAGGACAATGTACGTGTCAGACCATTAGTATTTGTGGTAGTATTAATATGGTGATGTTTGGTGTTTCTACCTTATTGTTACTAGTGTTACTGGGAGTCGTGGTGGGAATCGATTTTGTCAAGCAAACATAACCCTGTCTCCTATTGTTGCAGAGAACTAGATTACAACAACATCGATGGAACACTGGACGTTGCGGATCTTCTTTCCTTCCCACTAAACGGGACCCGCAATAGTACGCTGCGTATTAGTTTGAGGAACAATAGCATTGACACGGTCATATACAAGGATCTTGTTAGAAAACTTCCGTTGATTCTTGAGTAAGCTGCCTCTTGCCCTTTGTCTGCATTTGTTTGATGGGTCTGATATGAAATTGATTTGGCTGCATAGGGAGTGAAAATACTCTTGTACCACTTGCAAGAATCTTGCAAGTTGGAGTTAGCTCGTCCTTTGGGAGTCCACTGTAGTTGCCAACGTGGCGCTACAGTAAACTCTTCCTTGAGACAGGCCCTCGTTTAGGGCTACATTCTTCTTGAAAGCTGGCTATATCTTGATGTTATGGTGGGAAGGTTGTCATGACATCCTGAACATTGCTAATCATACGATGTTGGTGATTCCACAGGCTACAGGGCAACCCATATTGCAGTGGGCAGTGGGCAGACAGTGATGTTGGCAGGTGTTTTTGTACGCAGTTATGTTTTGATTCAAGTAAGACACCGACAATTACACATACTTAAGTTGCTTAGCACGTGTACTAGGATTCACTTTGAAATGTTGACGTCGAATGTTGATTGATTTGTTCAACGGGTGGCTATTGGTCAGTTTGAGATGAGTTTTCAGTTTATTTTGTGTGTCAGCGACATCAACTTATGTAATTTTTTCCAAAGGTAATCATCAGCAAGTGATGTAGTCTTATTTAAGACATGATCGAAGTTGTTACCAAGTATTCTCTTTTATGGAATTTTGACGACTCTGCATGTGAAAAGATTGTTGTGAAATAGGTCCTGTGCAGGACAGCGATTAACATTGTCTGCTGGCAAATTTATTGGAACGTTGCAAAATAGAATTCATTTTGTTTGTGGTTCCTAGTAAAACTTCTAAATAATCGGTGTACTTGGGTATATCTTGCAGAGGCAGAGGAGGATATTGCAAATGTAAAACGGACGACTATTTTGATAGCCTCACTTGTATGTGGAATTCTGCTGCTGATCATCATCAGCATTGGGTCTTTTTTGATTTGGAAAAACAGAAGGGATAGCGGATACCGTCTAGCCCAAGTACATGAAAGTACGTAAAAACACGTAATTCTAATATATCAGTGAATTGAAGCTTACTTTTTGTAACTGATGTCGATCATACTAGAATGTGCTTCTCCAGTGTGGCTCTAAAGACATACCAGGAAGTTCGATGTTCTATTGTTCTTTGAAATGATGTGGTTGCATTTTATCCATTGATAAAGATGTGACAATAAATCTCATACGGTGTCTTTTGATTTGTTGGTTTCTTTTCAGAGTTTGCCAAGCATGAACTGAAGCCTACGTTATATTCATATGGTGAGCTGCAAAAGGCAACTAATGATTTCCATCCCTATATGAAGTTGGGTGAGGGAGCATTTGGTGCAGTTTACAAGGTATACCAATGGAGTTTGCTAAGTGTGGAGGACTTTATATTCGAGTTTCTTTTACTTGATATGTTTTGTGAATTAAACATGTTTCTCCCACGACAAGTTTATCAATAATTGTGTGATTATTTGAGCAGGGAAAGCTCGCAGATGGAAGTGTGGTGGCTGTGAAGCAACTAACCACAAATGCACAACAAAATATGGATGACTTTTTGAACGAGGTTGTTGTTCTTACAACTGTGAAACATCGAAATTTGGTGAAGCTCAAAGGTTGTTGCCTCCGTGGCGATCGAAGACTTTTGGTATACGAGTGTGTGGAAAATTATGACCTTGCTGAAACGTTGTTTGGTAAGTTACTTATACATTGTCAAAATAAGGTTTGATTGAAATATTTTTGTATAGCACTTGTTGTAATTGTACTGAAATATGTGTGGTAAAGTTTGTCCTATAAAGAAATCTCGGTTTTATGATTCATTGATAATGGTGTGAATCAGTAACTAAAATGTCTCTTCAAAGCCAAGGTTTTAGAAGATTGTTTTTTTGGTGTCTTTGTACAAGTAGGAGTTACTGAAGTTTTACACTTGGAAATCCTACTGCTAATATTGTTCTCTTATGTAGACCACAAAGGCAACCAACCTATAACTTGGCCAAAGCGGTTCAATATATGTTTGGGAGTGGCAAATGGCCTACAATATCTACATGAAGGAGTGGAACCAAGAATCATACATAGAGATATTAAAGCCAACAATGTTTTACTTGATAAGAACTTGCAACCCAAAATTGCAGACTTTGGTTTGGCACTTTTGTTTCCAAATCAAGAGACCCATATTACAATTGAGCAAATTGCCGGTACAAAGTAAGTAAAGTTTCCATGTTGCAATATTATTTTGTATAGGAAATTGTTATCACTACAAATGCTTACATAGAATTATAAATCATCGATTATTATTATTATTGATTTGATTGATAAGAAGGGGGGATAAATTGTGGAACGTGCAGAGGTTATATGGCACCAGAGTATGCTTCTCTTGGCCAAATAAGTGAAAGAGTAGACGTCTTCAGTTTTGGAGTGTTGGCCTTGGAGGTTGTGAGTGGGAGGAGAAATATCAATTTTGATGTGCCTTTGGAAAAAACATACCTCAGTGAATGGGTACGTTTCCACTTCATGTAAACATACGCTATTATTTCTTTTCCTGTAGTTATGTATTTGTTTTTGTGTATGCTAGTATCTTAAATTTATATTTACATCAACCTCTCTTTCATATGCATCTTCACATTTTAAAACCTTTTGGTGAAAATTCTTTTGGAAAATTATTGCAGGCATGGAAACTAAATGAAGCGGGTAGTCTCCTAGACCTAGTTGATCCAAGTCTGTCGTTACACGTTGATGAAGAGGCTGTGGTACTACGGGTGATAAATGTTGCAATGGCATGCTTGCAAACAGCTGCAGAAAGACGGCCAACAATGGGCCAAGTGGTGGCAATGTTACAGGGAGACATTGAAGTTGGAGGAATTGTTAGAGAGCGATATAATGAGAATGTGAATAGATCCTATCAGAAGCTACTGGGTCTCAACACGTCAGTCACTAGTCTTGTTCCTGTTGAAGAAGAAGAGAGTCAAGTTCTTTATGGAAGTAGTTCCCAAGGTGGAGGTACTTCTCATGAGCTTGAGCTCAGTTTAGTGAAAGCTAGATGATGGTGTCATTTTTTTATGTAGTTGTTGAAATGTTCATGTTTTATTTATCCACCAAAATTTTCTTGGAAAATTTGTGAAGAAATTTCAATAAATATGTCAATATGTATCTGATTTGTATTCTTATAGAAGAGAAATTAAGTTTCGGTAGCAGATTGTACCCTTTTAAACCTTAAAGGAGCATTCGTCCATGTTTTGGATGATGAATGATTTCAGACTTGTCCCTTGACCACCATGAGTTGTTCTTTCATTCATTCAAATTTTGTTTGATTCTTGTGTTAGTTGAGTTATGCTTGAACTGTACAGATTCTGAAAACCCCTTTGTATTAATATTCTAAATGCAATATTTTAGAAGTATGTTAAGGCAAAATTATAGTGTTTTAAGTGTGATATGTGGCCTTTCAGAATATAATTCAGTAATTCAAGTGATTCTTTTTTCTTTTTTCTATTTTTTTTTATCTTTTAAAAGATTGGCATGTAAAGAGTTTTACATTTCAATCCAATCATATCAATTTTTACCTCAGTAATGTCAATGAAATCATATACATTAGACTAAGAATTTTATATTATGAATTCTTTTCGAACATTATTTGATGACGACAGCAGATCTGACCGCAAAGATGTAATTTACAGCTTCCAGACAACTACTTTTGTTCACAAAAGCTCACCCAATTAATCTTCCAAGTTGTATTTATATGAAATCTTCATAAATTCTCAAGTTTGAAATGACCCTGGATCCTTTAGGATTAAAACAATCATGTGCATAATATATTTATAAATAAATGATGTTTTCAAATTCATGTGATTGTAAATTTTTTTATCGTAGATTCAAAAATTGTTTTTTTCGTTTAGATTTACTGTCTGTTCTAAATTAAAAACCACATATAATTCCATCCAAGTTGATTCAACAATTTAACCAATTTGATAAATTAATGATTTTCATTGTCAATTCTGAAGGAATTGTATTAATTTTGATTGAGGAGGTGGCTAAGGATAATGCAAGTGCTAAGGCTCAAGCTTATGATAATATAGAAGACTTCAGGCCATCTCCATCCTTCTTGAGAATGTATGAAGAGAAAGCACTAAGGATAAATATTTGTGAAACAAGTAACATGTCCAAAACATTCCCTGGATACTCCGAAGTTCAAATCGATCCAGAGCTTGAGCATCTAAAGCTAGAAGGATTTGATTTTGATCAGATATTAACATTCGTATCATGCAAGTATGAGAATCTAGGCAACAATCAAAGGAGATTCTCGACGAAGCTATAGCATGTACTGATAAACAGTATACCATCAAGACTGAGGATGAGAATTGTAGACAAAACAAATTGCTACTTTTGGTGATAGAGAAGGAAGAAAGGTTGAACAGCTGATATGGGTACTACAAGAAAGCAAACATAAGCAAGATAGAAGATATGAAAATGGAGAAAATTCAACTTGTTAGTGCTCTTGTTGCAGCATGTCAGCAAATCTCTAGTACTTTCTCAGATGTTGTACTTCAACAAGTGATGAATGGTATCAATGTCAGAGCTGATGAAGTAAAGGTTGCAACACCCGATTCTTGGTCATGCCAGCACCACTCTCACGTGGATGTGGAGGAGGAGGATTAAGAGCAAGGCTGCAAAGAGACACGCTACGGCGAAGACTATGGATTGTTTGTTTTGTTATGGTCGACCTCGAGTCTGTGGCAGCTGCTTCAGGTTGATCAGGCAATGGGGTCAACCGAGACCAGGGGCTCGCTATCGAGAGCTTTCCAGACAACAAGTAAATAATGCCAATGAAGATGTTGTGCTTGTTTTTCAGGTTCACATCTAATGTAGCACCGGAAGTACTTGGACTACTGCCTCGTGAATTAGTTTCGGTGTTCCGCTGGTTTGGAACCGCCGAATATGCCCGACTGATTGTCCGTGATTTTTTCGAGAAAACTCTGAGAGCTCCGCAAGCGCCATCGAGGTGGGATTAGGAGCCGCCTTTTTATCTAAGAACCGAATCGATGATCGGCCTCGCGGTGCAATCACGCCTCTTACATCAGTGAGATTCTGTTTCATGAACACGTGTTAATTTGCTGAATGATATTGTGACATAACATTAAAATAAACTTAGTAAGATGAGCTTCGACATGGAGTTCACATGGTGTGGAACAGTTTTGCGAGTAATATAATTTTTCTAGAATTTTGTAGAAGAAACTGTAGATGCAAGACACCACACCTATCAAAACAATCGACTCTTCTCAAGTTCTGTCTTTCGTTCCGCACGATGCGGCAGAAGTCACCTGACGTTATGGAAACACATTTTTGAGGCTATTGATGATGTCCAAGATATCACTGCTTAGTACTTTCACACACAACGAACAGGTGGGCGTTGTGTTTGCTGTACCATGAGGAGCCAAAAGCACCGAACAGAACCATCGTTATATTCTGCAAAAGCCGTGAGATGGAGTCAAAGTTTCGCAAAAGATCTTCAAATAGGGTAAAATATGCTCGTTTGCACCTGTGAAGTTGGTCAACCGAGGCTTTGCTCTGACGACCAGCTAAAAGTTATTGAATTTGAGTCGGATTCGTCAGTCCTAGAACACAAACTCCACTAAAAATCTCGACCACAGCCACGTCGAGCATTTAATAACGAAATTTTCCATGCTACTCTTATTGGTCCCGAATTACAACTGTACTGAATTTTTTGTGAGAAAATAGTGGATTCAGATTTTAAATAATTGAGAACCATGAGTCTTTCATTGACAAGCGCATGTGAGCACTGAATTGTGAAGAACCAGTGACCTTCGTGATTTTTCCTCCCGCCCGAACTCTTGATCAACTACAACCTGCACACAAAACAAATCCATACCTACAGGGTAGCAGCCGAAGGCATACTGTGAGTTGCATCGGTTTGAACTAGCTATGGAGCTTCATATACATGAGTTTCAGAATTCAAATACGATGTCACATTTATAACCTCTGTGAAATGAGTGGATTGCTCGCATACTTAAAAAATTCCTGGATCCCAAGGGCCTGCAAAAAGCACCCCACACCCATGATGAGAGCTAATGCTAATGAAACAATCGATGTGCAAATCATTACAACCATTACCCAAAGTCGAGCAGCATTTAACCATGTAGCGTCACAAATTTCGACACATAGTTAATGGGGTGATTTGAGCAATCCAGTTGAGTGAAGAAATCCTGGACCGCTTCTCACATTCGAACTGGGACTACAATTTCAAGTATGCCCCTGCAACATCTTTTCAATATTGCAGCTGTATCTCAGACCAGATAACAGTTCGCGAAAGTGAAGTCCACACAGAAACCTGGACAAAACCCAAATTGCATCACCCTCCTGGCTGCCGTAGAATTCACACTCACTCCACGCGTCCCGTCCTCCGGAAAAGCTCTTCCATTTAATTGACAGACGAAGCAACGTTCCCAATTTTCTGTCGGAAGAAGAGGGCAAATCAGGCCCATTCCTTCGGGTCAAATCCCTCTCGTCCCGAAACCTGAAATACCCACTTCGCAACCAAACCTCGTTCACCCCACATTCATTCAAACAGCCCAGGGTGAGGAAAAAGCTTCACGGCAGATGATAGAATATCGCATCGGAAAAAAACCATTCATCCGTTATGTTCTTTGTTCAGCCGTGAAACAGAATTTCCTCTTCCTCGAACGCTGCGAATGGAGTGCATGAGGTGGGAGTTAGTGTTGGATATTGAAAATTTCGCGGTTAGCAGGTATTCGTCTCTTGAGTTTTCGGCGTCAATTCTGCAGCATTAGGTATCTTTCTGTTTATTCATTGAGTTACGTATTTTTCTATTTTTTTCCGATTGATGGTGGAATGGTTGAGAAAAGCGGTTTTTAAGTATTTGGTTGTTCGACGTTGCGGAGCGGGTGGAACAGATTTGGCTGCATCATCTGTTTCTTGTAAGTTTCGTCATTGATTGGTTGATTGGTGTATTTTGGTGATGCATGTTGGGTGGCTTCCAGTTTAGGGTACAGAAATTACACGAGAATTAAGAAAGGAAGGATCGTTGAAGCTGTGACATAAATTAGGGTAAATGAGAGTTTGAGAAGAATGGTAAAGCGAGGTTGTTAGCTCTAGTTTTAGTTCCGCTGTGGTGCAATTGATTTCGAGAGGGGTGCGTGTTTGTGTTTTAAACGTAAATTTTTTCAAATTGAGAAGGTATTGCACGTTGTCAATTTTGTCCATTTTAAGCATCGCCAGGTTTCTTGACCTTTCGCGCGGTAGGCAGTGTTCGACGTCTCCTAAGGGTTTATTCTGGCTGAAGGCATCTGGTAGTCTATGGAATGGTTTATTTTCTTTTGTGTCCAGAGAGCATCTAGTTTGAATTAATGGTTTCATCTTAGCAGTGGAGGATTGTGATCTGTTGGCGCTCTTGTTATGGCGCCCTCTACAACTCGACATGAAAGTCGAGACCGGTCACCAGCTGTTTCAGACCGACACCATCATCGCGAGGCTGGCCGCTCCTCGCACAGAAACACGAAGGATAGAGAGCACAGCAAGTCGCCGAGTCGGAGCAGTGTAGACCGAGGAGATCGTCACCATAGTTCCCGTCAGAGCCGTAGCAGCAGTCGAGATCGTCGAGGAGGGAGGGGCGAGCAGAGTCGTTCTCCAATTCGGTCTCCGGCTCGTCGAAGCTCAAGGAGCACGAGTCGTGATAGGAAGGATTCGGTCAGGAGCCGAAGCAGGAGCCGAGACAGGCACAGGAGAGATGTGCACAGGAGCCGAAGTCGCAGTAGGGATCGACGGAATGAAAGAGATCGCAAGAGGAGAGGAGATGATTGGAAAGAAACTGAAGACAGTCATGGTCGTGAGAAGAAGAAGGCCAGCGACCGGGAGAACAGGAAAGAAAGTGAGAAGGAGAAGTTAGCTGACAAACATAAGGAGAAGGTTTCGGTTGTTGGAACTGAAGATGTTGAAGATGGTGAGATTTTGGAAGCCCTTTGTGCTGAGGAAAAGCCAAAACCGAACGGCAGTGGGCCAAGTCCAATTGTGCCAGATAGCAGCAAAAAAGCAGAGGTTAGTTTTTAAGGACTTCCTTATGTTGTAACTCCCAAGTATACATTTGTTTAGTGGGATCGTATGAGCGTTAGCTTATCCTGAAACAGTTTGCTGCTCCCTTCGAGAACGTAGATATTCTGTATATTTGACGCTGAAACTTTGCATGTCAATGAATTGCAGCCTCTGTCTTTGGAGGAGATTTTGAGGAAGCGCAAGGACGAAGCAATGCAGCAAGCAAAGGTGCACCCTCCACGTTTACTTTGTTGAACCGTGCTGAGGTTTTGTGGTATTCATGAAGTCTAACGTTTTTACTCTGTTTCCTGAAATTGTTGGGCAACCTTGAGTTACATGTGAGCGTTTTTGAACTTCTATTTAGTAATGATGAAAATGTTGTTTGACTGGCAGAACATTAGCTGACGAGCGATCTTGTTTAAAGGTCTCGGTTTATTGTGCAGTATGTATGTCCATGTTGTTTCTAGTATGCTCCGAACTTGATTAAAATAAAGGCCAGTGTTTGGGGCATGGTGAAGGAAACTAAGGTCTGAGCTGAAGCACATGAGCTTGTTCTGTCCGTGTTGGGTTTAATATTTGCTTCTAAGGAGATCTTTTAACTGTTCATTCTAGACTTGACAAACATGACATTCGTAAGGAGAGGGTCTACTGCAATGCAGAATGCTCATATTCAGTTGAGATTCGAGTTTTCCATATTATTGGTCATTTTGGTACAGGGGTAAAATACGTACTTGAGAATGTGTTACTCCTGGACTTAATAACTCGGGTAGAAGTATGGACGTTGACATTTTCGTGTATAACAAGATAGCGAAACTGGCTTCCTGTTTACATACAGGTTGGTGCTTTGTGATGGGAACGAATGCTCGATTGCTAGAGTTTTGCAGGTGTGTTTAGATGCGGATTTATCATTGTTGTATGATTACTACAGAAATATTTGTCTTCAAAGTCTGGGGTATGTAAACCTCTCTAGAGCCTCTATTAGACTTTGACTGTGTTCGGCTATTTCCTTTTACCTTTTTAACGAGAAGTTACCTATTATTTTTGTTCTCAGCCGGTGTTTTTAACCAAGGCTCAGAGAGCAGAGCTTGCATTGCAACGTCGGCGAGAAGAAGCAGCTGAGCAGCTGAAAAGGTAATTTTGTGCGGACCTGATCTAATACACCATCTACTTCAATCTTATAGTTCACTCTTTTCAGCACTTCTGGCACTTGGACAAGGTTCACTCAGTTTTCTGCTTGTTCAAAGATCGCACTGGTTACTCTTTTAATGTGCATGCAGAAATGAAGAGTCTCGCAGACTTTTGATGGGTGTCGAAAACAAAGGCAAGGAGCAGGAAGGTTAGTCCGCTGTCTCGCCGTAGGTGTTCTTTTGTATTCAGGTTATTTTATCATGCGTTTGCAGCTACTTTTTGAAAGAAACTTGTCCGCTAGTTGTGGAAATTTTGATTCATGATTGACTCTGAAAATTTGAGTGCAGATAAAGACCGATCCCGTGAGAAATTCCGTGATAGAGATCGTGATCATGACCGGGAGGCTCGCGAGGCTCGGGAAAAAGAACGGGACCGTGAACGTCGAGAGCGAGAAAGAGAGCGTGAAGAAGAGGCAAGATCACGTGAGAGGGAGCGTTTAGAGAAGCAGGCACAACGAGAACATGAAAAAGAATTGGAGTCAATTAAGGAGCAAGTAAGTAACCTACCAATTTTCTCTTCAGATAACTAGAAAATTGAATGTTACGCTGTCCGCTCTTATTTGAAACAACATGGATTGTACTAGTAAATTAATCATTGAATGTGAAGTTGCTCGAAGTTCACTTTTTGAAATAATAATTGCTCGTGATTTATGTGCCTTGTGCTATTGTTCGAAATATCTTAATTCTCCTTTGGAGTGCTCTTACTTTCAGAGTATTGGTTCATTAGAAGTTTCACTTGTCATAGTTGAAGTCGTCTTGCAGGAAGTAGAAATTAATCATGTGTACTATCTTGAGGTGCAATTTTATGGGTGCAGTACTTGGGTGCTAAGAAGTTGAAGAAGCGAGTTGTCAAACCAAGTGAGAAGTTCCGCTTTTCATTTGATTGGGAGAATACTGAAGACACATCTAGGGACATGAATCCAATGTAATGGTTTTTCTTTCACTTTTCCTTTTTTTCCAGTTTTTAGTAATAATAAAATTATTATTCCTATTGCTATTGCTATTGTTATTGTTGCTATAACAGTATTGAAATGTTGCTGAAATCTTGATAATGTCCTGTCGAGGTCATTCGCGCTTGTCCTTTCTTGTCTTTTAGCGGGTGACTGTTTTTGTGCTGGGCCGTGGTTAACAACTATTGCCAAATGCGAAAGCCAGGACTAAAAATTTAGGTGTACATTTATGTAGATACCAAAACCCGCATGAAGCTCAGCTTTTGTTTGGGCGAGGGTTTCGAGCAGGCATGGATCGGCGTGAACAAAAGAAGGTGCTGTTTATGTTCTACTTTATTTGAAAATGCCGATGTGTTTTGATGCATTTACGTCCTTCGACAATTCAGGTTAAGCTTTTGACTAATACTTTCTTTTTAAATGATTGTGCTTTCCAGCTAGCAGCCAAGAATGAAAACGATTTAAGAAAGGAGATTCGGGTATGGATGATGACCTCATTTCGTTTTAGAAAATAAATCTTGCGTTTAGTATTGGTTCTCGAGTAATCCTTAATGGGCTTTGCATCTTCCCTGTAACTCCTGTATATCTGACGAGGTTTGCAGTATTGTAATCCATAAAGAATGTCATCCAAGTGTTGTAAGTGTCACATGTAACATGGTAGCACTTGGTTTGGTGAAATTTACTTCTACTTATTCATATGACCTGATTTATGCTAGGAATTTTATCTGAACATGAAGTGCTGCCTTCTGTACTAACTTGTTGAATTTATTTGTGGTATGCTGACCAGCTCAAAGTCGGACTCGAGGAGAGGCCCGAAGAGATTGCGGCACAGAAGCAAAAAGAGGAAGCAGCAAATATGTACGACACATTTGACATGCGTGTTGATCGCCACTGGTCTGAAAAGAAGGTCTGCTAATTTTTTTGTCGATCACTTATTTCTTTTGTGTGTTTTCTTTTTTATTCTATAGGGTTTGCTATATTCGGATGGGTTGTGTTCTACTTAAATTCTTCAGTTTTTTTCTATAAATGGAGCTGAAAGCTGCTATGTTACAGGGGTCCCAATCTCTATATTGCATGGGTCTGACTTTGTACGTTGGCATGGATGTAGCTGGAGGAGATGACAGAGAGAGATTGGCGTATTTTCCGTGAGGACTTCAATATTTCGTACAAGGTAAGCAAATGTTTTCAAGCTCTTTCAGGTATGATGATACGTGCTCGGAACGTATGCATATACACAGGCAGCAGTTAAAAGAATAGATTGGAAGTTTTTTTCAGAGTCATAAAACTTGATCAACTTGTTGATGTGTAGGGCTCACGCATTCCACGGCCAATGCGAAACTGGGCGGAGGGCGCTTTGAGTCCAGAGCTACTGAAAGCTGTTCAGAAGGTTGGATATACAAAGCCGTCTCCTATTCAGATGGCTGCCATTCCAATAGGTCTTCAGCAGCGGGACGTCATCGGCATTGCGGAGACTGGTATTTTTATGCCTCTGATGCTTTTAATGCTTCTGTTTTCGATAATGCCATGTCTAACCAATCCTTTCGGAAGTGCGTTTTGTCTGCCAGTGAAGTGAACAGTACGATGTGGTGTGAATGTGTTAGATCTTCAAAACCTGCGCTTGGTAATTGTAGTAATTTCGATCTCTTTAAAATATCATGTTGCCTGATCGCTACCTGTGTATACCCTTGTTTAGATGACTCTATGCAGTACATTTGGGTGAATGAAATTTGACATACATAAAATTTTCAACCATGCTTCAGGTTCTGGAAAGACAGCAGCGTTTGTATTGCCCATGCTCACCTATATTTCCAAACTTCCTCCAATGACGGAGGAGATTGAGGCAGAAGGTCCATATTATTACATCATTAACCTTTGTTGTTCTTGTCTCGATTGATGGATTTCTGAGTATATTTTTATCTCACAGTAATTTATTTCATGGTTGCTTAAGCAAGAGGAGATGGGTAGTACGAGTATTCTACCAGATAATTATCCAGAAACTAGGTTGACAATTCTGTTCTTGAATCGTTAGATTGTGTGATTGTTGTTTTGTTTCAGGCCCTTACGCTGTTGTCATGGCGCCAACTAGGGAGCTTGCTCAGCAGATCGAAGACGAGACTGTCAAATTTGCGCATTTTCTTGTATGTCTACGAACCACTCTAATGTATGACAGATGCTGTGCTTTTGGCCTGAACCATCTGGATGCTTCTATCTACTATTGCGAACATAGTTGCACATGACAACTTTATCTTCTATGATTCTCATTTAGATTGCATTCAGTTACTATCAGTATCAGAGGTTAAGTTTTGTGCATATTGAGCAGATAGTGTTCCTAAAACTTGGCTTTGGTATATCCTAGCGAAGATTTGATTGCGTTGTTTGCAATTGACTTATTTCACCTTTTGTATTTCTACAAACGCATGTATTTCTAGTCAGACGACCCATGATTTTGGTTCTCAATGCAGGATATTCGCGTTGTGTCCATTGTGGGAGGTCAATCCATTGAAGAACAAGGTTTTAAGTTGAGACAGGTAAGGAATTGATGCAACGTAGTTTGATCTGGAAGACTGTTATTTAAATCCTATGACACAATTCTGTGAAACGAAGAAGCATTTTAAGTTATTTTGAAGGCATATGTCTAAGGTTTTGTAGGTACTGGAATATACTGTGCCGAAAATGAGGCACATCTTACTATTTTTTGCATGGTTGTAGTCACTGGTCATCATTTCAAGTCATAAGCTTTTTGGTACATATTTCCTTTCTGACCTTCTCAGTCTGGAACATACATGTGATCTGCATTTTATGTCTTGTCTGTAAATATGTTCAACGTTTATTCGCTCACGTGTAAATGAATTTGCTTCTGGCAGGGCTGTGAAGTTGTGATAGCAACACCAGGTCGACTTCTTGACTGCTTGGAAAGAAGGTATGTAGCTAGTTCAGTGGTTGTTTAATTTTGTGTGTTCATGACTTGTATTTTTATTCAAAGGCCATTAGGTGCATCATCTGCTCTTCTTCAGTCTCTCGTGAGTTCTATATAATAGTTAAGTTGTAACAATTACACTTCGTACACTTTGTTGCAGATATGCAGTCCTTAATCAGTGCAATTACGTAGTGTTAGACGAGGCGGATCGAATGATCGACATGGGTTTTGAGCCACAGGTAGAGTTAAAGAAAGTCGCTCAATCACAAATTCTATTTCCATTTCATATGGCTTCAATTGTTTGATTCCTTTATTTGTTTGGTCGCTTTTTTTCTTTTCCCTATCCGTAATTTGTTTCTTAGCGAGGCTGATATTTTCGCAGGTGATGGGAGTTTTAGATGCTATGCCCTCAAGTAATTTGAAACCAGAGAATGAAGATGCAGTAAGAATTATACTTTGTCTCTGGTTTGTTTTTAGATTTTCTGTACATTCTCATTCTCAAGTATTACTATTCTTATGGTTTTCTCTTGTACTAGGCGTCTTATTAGACACAAAAGTAACTGCTGTCGTTGAGTGGTGATCTGAACAGGTAGAACTAACACAATATTTTTTGGGACTCAGGAGCTTGATACACATAAAATTTATAGAACGACATATATGTTTAGTGCGACCATGCCACCTGCAGTGGAGCGTCTGGCCCGGAAGTATCTACGAAATCCTGTGGTGGTATGTTTCTCAATTTTTTCCCTCAATCCCCCTTTTTTCTTCATTCTATTGAAACTAGTGCTACGATCTTATTAATTCGATTTATTGCAACTTGTCTTAACGTCCGACTGCTAGGAAATTGTTCCTGAGAACAATTTGCATTCATGATGTCGCCTTCATGTTTTTGAGGTGTTACATACTGGATCATTTTGCAGGTAACAATTGGAACGGCAGGCAAGGCTACTGATCTTATCACCCAGCATGTGATAATGGTTAAAGAGACTGAAAAACTGGATAGGTGAGCTTGAAGTCAGAACATTACTGTGTAGGAAATGCCAAAGCCTGATCTGACATGAGATATTATGTGTCCCTGCATCTTTACAACCTGCTATACCTTTTGGGTCTTTCCGTTGTATTGTGTCATGTTTTGGTTTTTACTTCATATCTACCTGTTTGTTCAATCTCTTCCTCAGAAGTGTTCTTTAACCATGAAAGAAGTCGACCTTCTTAACGGTTATCACGTTTATCTTTCAACGAACTCCCTTGGTTCGTTGGTCATTAAGTCGATAACCAAGTACTGCGTAGGACAATCTATTGAGTATGATAGAATCCTGTGATTTGGCAGATTGTGCCGCGTTTTGAATGATATGGGTGATAAAACGGCCATAATTTTTGTCAACACCAAGAAAAGCGCAGACACATTGTCTAGACAACTTGACAAAAATGGTTATCGAGTCACCACTCTTCATGGAGGCAAGACCCAGGAGCAGCGTGAGGTAAGGTTTTAGTTTAGCCCGTTCCTGTTCCATTATCTTGAGGAACATGTAAGAAGAGTTTCTAATTTTCTCTAAGATAAAATATTTAATACATGCTGGAATTTGTTACTAATATTTGTTAAATGTGGTTTTCATTCAGGTGAGCTTAGATGGGTTCAGAAACAAGAGGTTCAATTGCCTGGTGGCCACAGATGTAGCTGGTCGTGGTATTGATATTCCGGTACTTAACCAATCGCCTTTCAACTCGTTACCATTTTTTCTTTGAGAAAGCATGTTCAGCAAAACCTTGCTCTAATCTGTGGTGGTATTTTCAGCTTTTAGTTTTTGCTGCAAATTATGTTCTTCCGTACCTCGATGGCAACGTATGATCTCAACTCTTGCGTCTCCATCGGGATATAGAATCTGCTCTTGCTGAGTTTTCTTATACTGGTCCTATCATGGTTTCGCAGGACGTCGCGCATGTTATCAACTATGATATGCCTGGAAATATTGAGATGTATACTCATCGTATTGGTACGTTTCCTTGTGTAATCCACTAGTGATAGTTTAGGGGGATCCAGATAGATATTCTAATCAATTGAGGGATTGAGCATATTCAGCTTGTATGTTTAGCATTCATATGTATGCTTTTGAAGAACATGGGCCTGAGCAGTGAGAGTGCATTACATTACTACATGAAGGTGTGAAATCAGGAAACGTACAGCTTCGTTTAATGTAGTCGTCCGATTCCCAGTGGAAGTTCGGGATGCATATCCAGCCATGAGTCTGTTAAGGAGATCTTGCTCAATGTGACTGACGTCGTGAATTACTTCTGTAGGACGTACTGGTCGCGCTGGCAAGACGGGTATTGCCACAACATTCTTAACTCTTCATGATACCGACGTCTTCTATGATCTGAAACAGGTGTTCACTCACTCCTTATCCTTCAGCTGAGCAAATCATTAGTACATGCCATCCTTGAATCTCATTTATCATTTCGACCTTCACGAGTATCCATTAGGACTTCTAGCGCGTTAATGTTGGAGGTTCTGATGCATCTTTACCCAGCTTTGGAATTGTCGATTTCAATCTTCAAATGCTAATGGAGTTTACTAAAATCTCCAGCATAGTTTTACTTTAGAGCATTTGAGTATTTGGATGGGATATCGTTTTTTGTTAACGCCACTGGTGTATGTTTTGGTTTTTCAGATGTTGGTACAAAGCAACAGTCCTGTTCCACCTGAGCTTGCTAGGCATGAAGCATCTAAATTTAAGCCAGGTCCGCCTTAGGTGCTTCTGACCCTTATGCAGTGTTCACTGCGGATAACGATTCTGCATATCATAGTCGTAGTTGAATCATGTACCTGATTCCTGTAGAGAAATAGCTATTTGTCACATGTGTTCCTCATCTTATTGTCCCGTCCATAGCTTCATCTATGATTTACTCTAACAAGTTCTTTGCAACTCATTGCAGGATCTATTCCAGATCGCCCTCCACGGAGAAACGACACTGTATTTGCAAATCACTGACGCAGGAGAGAAATGAGAACTGGGTTGGATTCCGCGTTTTGGATAGTTGTAGTCTTGTAAGATTAACGTACTTCGGCATTATTTCAAAAGTTGCATGTTGGAGGTGTTAACATGTCGCATAAGTAACGTATATACCTTGCAGGGACTTTTGTGTTCAGGCCTTGATAAATCTATTATACTTCCGGGATATTGGGGTACTTGACAAAGACCATGGGTTTGACTTTGAACTCGATTAATTTGGGCAATGGAGTGGTATGTGATATCAGCAGTGATCAGCTATTCTTTTTGGCGTTACGTAAAATAAACAACAATTGGAGCAAAATGTGTCTCAGTACAAACGTCCAAGTGCGTATTACGACATTCTATTGAGAAATTTTTCAACTAGAAAATTGGTTATAAACAGCTTGGTTGCAAAATGCAATAGTATTGTCGGAATGAGCAGATGTTCTTGTTTTTATATATCACATACTTCATCACATAGTGAAAAACTAGTAATGTGTACAGATACAAAATCACATTTTAAAATCTCTACGCTCCATGGTCGATGAACAAATGTATGAGCTGGTTACAATTAGAGTTTTCCGATATTGGTACAGTTTGAAAAAGCCATCTAAAATAAATGACTGATATCATCCCAGGAAAGGTCGTACTGGTGCAACGGAAAAAAGTAAATTAAGTCATTTTACTCGCATTTCCGTCCCAATTAAAGTAAGCTGACAATGAAAGACTGGCACAATACCGTTAAATCAAGAACTGATCGAGAACATGACAGAGCATTACAACTCCTAGCGATAAGATGAACTTCACTCCTCACCAATACTCCGCCCGTTCAATTCAACAATCGAGCTGTACCCAGATGGGACTTTTGACTACGTGAACATTGTCCTCTCAAAATTAGCATTGAATTGCTTCAAACTCGTGGTCACTAAGAGTTCTATCCTTCCTTTAGAGAGGTTGTCTGAAGCTCTGTCCTGCGTAACGGACATTGCCGAGCTCCTCCTCTATCCGCAGCAACTGAAAGAATCACGACATTTGTCAGAACTACTAAAAAACGAGTAGTTCATAATGAGATCATTCAGAAGATGAAGCAGGATGTTTACGCAAATCAAGTCGTGTGTTTTTTCATGCAGTTCAGGAAATATGTGCACGCAGTTAAGAATCAAGAACAAACAACAGCAGTTTAAGTACAGAAAATACCTGGTTGTATTTGGCGAGACGCTCACTTCGGCAAGGAGCTCCAGTTTTGATCTGAGTAGGAAATTAGTGTCAGATCCTCAGGCAAAAACAAGAAAGCAACTAAGCTGATCGAAAAACGCAATAGCAGAAACAGTTGCATAACAAGGACACTAGTTACACAAGGGTAATTCATGGTGAAACTTGAAGAAATCGGAATACCTGTCCGCTCGCAAGGCCCACAGAGAGGTCAGCAATAAAAGTGTCTTCAGTCTCTCCACTTCGGTGGCTGACCATAACACCCCAACCGGCTGCCTTGGAATCCAGGGCAGCTTGAATGGACTCCGTTACAGACCCGATTTGATTTACCTGCGCGATACAGTTAGAAAAAATGAAGACATTTACTTTCATGCTTTAATGAGCTTCATAAAACAGCATTCTCTAAATTTAAAGCGAAGATAAAATGGAGCTAACATAATCTGGTGTCTTCTGGAATCACGAACAGCATACCTTCAACAACAGAGCGTTGCAGGCTTGCTTTGAGATAGCCTCAGAAATTTTCTTGGGGTTAGTAACAAGAAGGTCGTCGCCAACGATTTGGGTATCAATGCTCGAAGTCAGAGCTGTCCATGAAGACCAGTCGTCTTGATCATACGGATCTTCGATGGACACTATGGGAAAATCGCGTACAAATTCCCTGTAAAGATCACCTAGGGCTTGCCCTGAAAGAACCTTGCTGCCATCATTTGGCTGTTCCTTGAAGTCAAGATCATATTTCCCGTCTGCTGTCAAAAATTCGGAAGCCGCGACATCCATACCGATTTTCACCTTGCCAGTGTATCCAGCCTTCTCGATGGAGTCGACCAGGAGAATAAGTCCCTCCCGATTGTCCTGGATATTTGGAGCGAAACCTCCCTCATCACCCACATTACACGCATCTTGCCCGTACTTCTTCTTGATGATGCCCTTCAGCACATGATACACTGTCCATAGATAGAAAACGAGTTTCAGAATTCAGATAACGACCTCACAAAGGAAGATTAGTGTTTGCAACACTGCAAAAAGACTCACAGTGGAGTTACTGCAGCTTATTACAGAACTATACGATGCATCCCTATAGTTGAATTCAAGTTCCTCAGTAAAAACCATCAAGAAGCGAGAACACAAGTGTTATCAAACTAAAAGGTCTATAGAATGACGATCTTATCCAGTCGTTTGTACTCAAAAGGTCGAGGATTTGGGTATTCTTGTAAGCAAGACGAAACGAACAAATGGCTTAATACTTCTAATTGGTTTGATGAAAGGCAGCAAGAAATAGTGATAATGCAATACCTTCACAACCCATTTGCATGGCTTCCTTGAACGAGGATGCACCAACAGGCAGAATCATAAACTCTTGCATTGCAAGCTTGTTACCAGCGTGGCTACCACCATTGATGACGTTCAGGGCAGGTACAGGCATGACTAGCTCCTTAGTACCAGAGATCTCTTGGATATGGCGGTACAATGGCACGCCTTTCGCACCAGCTCCAGCGCGACAAACGCTCAAAGACAAACCCAAGATGGCATTGGCGCCCAGGTTACCCTTGTTGGGCGAGCCATCCAATTCTAGCATTACGCTGTCAATCTCCTTCTGATTCCTGCGATTTCCACCAATATACAGTTATCCAAACCCTCCCAGCAATAATCTCATCACACACCTGTACCAACCAGCACGAGCTGCTACCAAGTTCAATGCAAGATCACTCTGTATACCAATTCATCCTCCCAAACTGCCCGCAACCAACTCACCGAGTATCAAGCCCCACAAGCTTCTTCGCCAATACATTGTTAATATTATCCACAGCCTTCAACACACCCTTGCCTCCGAAAACCTTCTTATCCCCGTCCCTAAGCTCCAATGCCTCGTAAATACCCGTCGACGCGCCGCTGGGCACGGCAGATCGGTAGCAACGGTCTGTCACCAAGTCAACCTCCACGGTCGGATTTCCCCTGCTATCAATAATCTGCCGCGCGGAAATACTCTTAATCTTGGAGGCAGCGTCCGCCTTCACTGGGGTGGTCACCTGCGCCACAGCTTGCACCTTAACAGTCCGTCGCTTCGGCGCCAGGCTCACAGCAGCAGGGGACGCGAACTCCCCACAGCTACCCGTCCAGAATGACGACTTGCAAATTGCCATCCTCGCCATTGTGCCCTCCAAAGCAGCCATGAGTGTAGCTGTAGATTGCTCCCAACGAAGTGCAAGTGCGCGAGGCGATTGTCCCGAACGAACTCACGAAACTGGATATAACATCCTAGGGCTTGACGCAAGGGGGACTATAAGACCTAGGCGCGGGCGGAACAAACGAGTTCCGCGTCCCATGACCCCGTTTCTGCAGCTGACCTTTCATGCACTTTTTGCCGTTGATGGGAGGCTCCAGTGTCCACCAATGGTTCGTAATAATAGACGGGCCTGCCCGAGGAATGATGAATCTGGGAGTCAGAAAACGGGGCCGGAGTTGTCGATGAGAAGTGTGGGCCCCAGAGAAAGGCGAAGATAGACCCTGCGAATGAATCAAGAGGTAATTCCTGAACGAATACTATTTCTTAGACGAATATCCTCGTAACCATTCAGTGGACACTACCTAGTGTGCGGTAGAATGGTCTAGAATGTAACGTCGTGAAGATTTGAGGTGAATCCGCAAGTATATTCTTGCAGGGAGGTCTTAACGCCGACCAAGGTTGTCATTGATGGGTGAATTGCACAGCGAAAATGGATTACTCAGTTTACATCATATATTGATAGAATTGAGCGAAGTGAGAGGGAGGTGGCTCAAGTGCGGTGGACTTTATTGCAAAATTATCATCTCTTTTTACTCTTCGCAAGGTCGCAGAGTGATACAATTGTACGAGGTTACACCATTTAGCCAGCTTCACGAGAACTATATTCTGCTGATAAAATCGATGGATCTCAGAAATTGAAACAATATACTTCCTTTGAAGCAAGTAGCCACAAGAGATTCATAGTGGGTTGTAAATAAAGAGTGGTGGTACAAGAGCATTCGTGTAGCCTGCTCTGGGACGAAACTTAAGTTCCAATGAGGTGCTTGTAACGTGCGTAGCCTAAGACGGCGATGAACACCACCAAGCAGGCAATTGTCGTAGTCACGACCACCTGATGTGCAGCACCGAGCCATCAGATTAGAACAGGATCAATCGAAAATCTGTGATAGTAATGAATGAGGTGTAATCTGAAGGCGATTCTCTGTACGAGCATCAAACTGATTCTTCAGCATGCGCAAATATCACAGCAAATAAACAAGACTAGGTTTAATATTTTGCATACCCATGTGAAGGCCTCTTCATGATTTTCATTCCACTCATAGGGAATATTCATACCAAATATACCAGCAACAAGGGAGAAAAGAGCCACCACTACAGTAGCCGAGCTGAGTATCAACTCCAACTGCAGAAACCAGAAAGTCCATTCAAAAGAAGAGTTTAAAAACCATTCACATTTCAAAGAACAAATACTTCACAAGATGAAGTGGCAAAACCAACAGAGTGAAGGACACGAAATCGTGAAGTACCTGGATAAGCTGATTTCTATGGTTGTCAAGCTGTTTGGAAAAAGCGGAAACAGTGAAGGCATCAGAACAGCGCAAATATACGATCATAAGACAGCTGCCCTAAATTTGTTCTTTCTGCGGACAGTCATCTGCAATTAAACAGTACAAACATATCGCTACGATCAAAAGAGTTAATTCAAATTATTGTCATGCCTATCAATGCCTGCACGTTGAAGTGCCAAGTAAGCAAATTCGCGTCTTTCTAACATGGCTTCCAATTGATACTAATCATGCATTCGAGGACATGGCGGCGGATTTCGTCCACTAACAACATCAAACTACACAAAAGACAAACGCAAGCTGGAAACCCTCTCCCCTCTTCCTCTCTTAACGGATAAAGTGGACAGCTACATATACGTGGCATAGCTGATACCTGTATGTTGATGTAATCCTCTGTATCATCAATGTATTCTCGAAGCTGACGAGAAGAATGCAAAATGTGAGTATTTTAAAAAGCTAGAAGATAAAAATCAAATAGCGAGAAATCAACACAAAGAAACCAAAATAGCAGTAAGGATCGGATGACCATCGATCCTGATAGAAGATAGGATACTTACTGTAGTTAGCTTGTTCAAAGTGCTGTCAATCTGCATAAAATAAGCCTGCATTCAGAACGGCCCGATTTTCAGGTAATGTGGGATACATGCGCTAATCTCAGAACATAACCTTAAATTGGTTCTATCAAGCATAACAAAGGTACCTCAAGAAGCATCTCTAACTCTTCCACGTCATCGGAATCTGTAGCTGTAGCAGTTCCATGGTTAAGACTGATGGCTCCAGTGCCCTTGCTGACCCATGAAGCACGGGATGCGATTGTTGGAGATGTAGGTGCATCAGAACTTCCAGTCGGAGATGAAGATCCATCTCCTCTTTTCCGAGTCAGAAAAAGGTCGGCCATGTCATCATCGTCATCTAGAAGTTGTTCTAATTCATCTCTCACCTGTACACAAGCTAGAATCAATCTCAGTTAAAAAGGATTCCTTTCTGCAAAGTAAAGAGATTACAACGCAGAAAATATTCATAAAGAACGCAGCAAGGAGCCCACACGATATCACTTTGCGAAGAAAAGGTTTTAGAGAAGCCTAAAGCTATTTCATCCTTGCAATTTGGATGATGAAATTTGCACATACATCTAGGAAGGATTTGAAAGCAGAGTACCTTCTGAACTCGGGCATTAAGCCTTGTCATGCTACTCTTCAACTTACGTACGCGGTCCAAATTACGACTACTAATCTGTACTCAGCGACACACAAAAGCATCATAGAAAACAACCCAACATTCAGTAAAAAATAAGGGTACAAGGGAAACCAATTTAGGCTGGCTAAGCAAATTAACCCAACCAAAGGCCTCTAGCGACTACCTCCAGCCCAAGAATTTAATTGAAAAATAAATGAATAGATGAATAAATAATCCTTCAGGCTTCATGTTCAAAGGATGGCACCCGCCATGCTTAAGAAGGTGATCAATTGGAGCCTTGAAATTTGGAAGCAACACTTCAAGAGGGCTCTAAAGTTCAGTATATGAACGAACCTTTTTGGTAAGCTCATCCAGAGCTGGATATGCATTTGTCTCCAACTCAGTGGTGCGTGCATCTAAAAAGCTGCAAATAGCTTCCAAAGCTACCTCCAGCGCCCGAAACTCAAACGGAGGAGCTGCCAGACAACGTTAACTCTGTTAGAACTTCTCATTCGTACCACATACAATTCGAAAGGAATTAACATAACTTATCATTTACACGGAAGATGTCAGTGTACGGATCGAAGGCAATACTATGATGTTTGGCCTTTAAAAATTAAAAACAACCTCTGCAGCCATATGTGAAGACCTTGTTGTAAAAAGGATTCATGGACACAACAAAGACACTATTCTGGTTCATACAAAGACATTAGTCATAAGATCGACGCCAGATGTGCACACCAAGTTTCACAAACTCTAATAGACTTGTCTGACTTCTATTCCATAGCGGAGTCTTTCAAATGTTAGAATGAACAGGTTACGACTGAAATTTTGACCAAGGATTTCCTACCTGGAATTCAAAAATGAAGCGTTCGTGACAAACATCGCATTTTTTTAATACCTATAAACTCCTAAATATAACTATCATATCTAAGTATTAGCGGGCCAACCAATTAAGTACCAAGCATATATTATTTAGCGTAAGAGGGGAGGAATTTTAGATGCTGGATAATCCTACAACAAATACGAACATATTGAGGTATATTTAGACAAAGAATTACCGTCTTTTCCTGGCGTATTATCATCTTGCTTCTCGTGCTGAGGACTCCACGTTGCGCCTTTTCCGGGACCATCCAATTCTTTGCCTTCACCTTCAGACCCCTCGTGACCCAGACTATCAGATCCTTTGGTGGGTAATCGTCTGCAGAGCTCTTCTACGAATGGTATCACAAATTCGTCCGCTGGATTACGCAGAAACACCTGCACAACAATGACTACATTTTAGCCGTTATTTTTTTACTCATAACTCTGCATAACCGCAAGAAGACACATCATGCAAATCTGCCTTCAGGAAGTAAAAGCCTTCAGCATAATATGAATACTATCACAACATTTGGCATTAAGAATGACTCAGCTCAGGTGACACGACTAACCTACACCCAGTGGCACTAAAACAAACAAAAAACACTCACCTCGTCTGCGGTAATGATCGCCTTGATGTGCTGTTCAAAAAACACAAGTACCAGGAGTCAAGTACTTGGTGATTCAAATGAATAAAAGCACAAACAAGTTAAACCTCTTGATTTGAGATTCAAACAATGAAAATCGATTGCTTTAGCAGCGGCGATTAGACGGGATGTAGATGAACTAAACCCAGACACCTAGTCAAACCACGCAACAGGAAGCTAACTGCAAAGACTGAATGTTATTGCATCAGGAAGTCTCAAGAGACGGGCCGAAGGAATGCTCTCTCCCGCTCTAATAAATGGTAGCCGAAAGGAAGAGAGCACAAACAATTCTCACCTCAAGATTGAGCACGATGGCCCGCTCACGCCCCAGAATCGTGGATGGATACGATAAAAGTGGATCCAGAATCCGAAGATCGCGAGCATGAATGCCAACACGATGCATAATTGCGTACTTATCAACTTCTAACACCCTTTTTTCCCCTTCATTGTCCAGAACCATCCATGTCTTTGACGCTTGCTTCTTCTTGGCCAGAACTGCCACATCTTGGTTTAGGCCAGCCATTACTGCTACCCGTACAAATGCGGCTATGAGAATGTCTACATTAGAAAACCTGCAATCTAAAAAACCAAAAATTAAAATTAAAACTACAGAAAATTAAGACAAACCATTACGATAGTGAGAAGAAAAAAATTTAAAAGACAAAACCCTGTGATCCAAACTCCACTTCAGAGAACCAAAATCCCCTTCTATGATCAATAGGGATCATTCAATTCCCATCACCCAATTCCAGGTCTTCTTCGAACTACACCAATCACCAAATACTCTACCGAACCGAACCAAAAACAACAAAAAATATATATGTACCGCTGCAGAAAATCACCCCCGGAAATAAATCATCACCCCTAATTAATTCATTCCCAAAGCCACAACTGAACATCTCAAAAAACCAGAATCACTCTGCTCTGTAGCACCCAAAACATACCACCGCTCTTGACCCTTAATTGCGCCGACCCAATACGCCCAAAGATCGACAAAATGCCACCCACCTTCTACATCTTTACGCACCCTCAAGTCCTCAGCGACGCAGGCTCCATGCTCTCATGCAAAAGCTCCCATCACGCACCCAGAAACCTAACCCTGCCGAGCCCAAGAGGACCCAGAAGCGCCGTGCAGACGCCAGAGTTGCAGGGAGCGCTTGAACATGCAACCGTCGTGGAGGCCGATCGATGATCCCAGCAGCGAATTCGCCTCATCGAGCCCGCAATGGCGACTGCGAAGTTGGTTTCCCTTAGATTCCAACGCCACTCCCCCTTCTTCTCCTCCGTCCCGTCTCCTCAACAGTCCCCGGGCCTGGTTTCACCGAACCTAGACCCCACTCGGCTCGGATCCGCACCAGGACACAAACACCCCGTTCCCACAGCACCACATGGAGTCTCGACTGGGAACGCCTCGATTACGTGGCGTCGGAGTACCTATTTGGGTGAACCCATCCGTTAAAGCAGCTCCAAAGCATTTTTCTTTTTCGACCCAGGAAGATGCTTCCAAATGCCAGGTTGAATAATATTATTCCTAATTAGGGTGGTTTTACTTTTATACCTTCGTTCTTGAATGATTCTAATTTTTTATTTTATTCCCATTTGTTAGCTCAAAGAGTGTTGGGGGGGGGGGGGTTAAGGGGTGGATACCTGTTGGATAATAGCTTTTAAAGTAGCTTTTTAAAGGTAAATGGTGGGTTGCGTGTCCTAAAGGTGGAGAGAATACGTTTCTGTGGCTGTTGTTTTGTGATGGTGAGCTGCACAGCTGTTGGTGTGATGACGATGGCTCCACCTTTGTTCCCACCTCACGGACTGTGTGACTGGATGGATGACCTCGTTCGTGTACGATGTACTACATTCATCTTCAATTGATGAACTTTTATGGATACTTTTCATCCGCCTTTGGGTGGTGAAAGTGGTGATGAACTTATATTTTCGTAACATATTTCATGATGTTGCATTTTATTACTCCTCGAATATGAACACGTAGTGTTTTGAGCATGAGGTGTGATGTGAAAGTGGTCTTGGTGTGAACAGGGAAACTCCACAAATGGGAGTTGTTTGTCTAGCATGAGGCTGCAGTGTAAACGGGCCCGATAACAATGGCACAGTTGCTCGCAGAAACCTTTGTCCATCTTGTGGTTCATATTTTTGAGCGGTGTTTTAAACAGATAGACAAACGGACAGATACCAATTTTTTAATATATAAATATATATATATATATATATGTATTTTTTCACACCCATATCTAAAAGGTAAATTATAGTAAATAAAAATTCTAAAGTGGTGCCTACTTTTTGAGATTTATAATTGTACGTATTGTAATATCCAAATTCCTTTATGAATATCACATACTAAAATTTAGTTGAAATTAAGTGTTCGCAAAATTTACTGACACGATTTTAAAAAATAAAATAAAATAAATAGAATTTGTACCAATTTTCAAAATTGACATTTCAAGATGAATTTACTGCTTAAAACACAAAAAACGAGTTTATAAACAGTTATCAAGAATTGCAATAATTTTTTGCACTAAAGTTTTAATAACATGTGTTTAGTTTTTATTTTTTCAAAAATCTTGCAGATAATTTATTTATAAAGAATAATAGTTTAAAATCAAATAACTTAGTACTTTATTTCTTTGTAAGAAATAAAACTAGTTCAATATATAGTTGCTGTGATTTGATTTTTTTAATCTCTTAAAGCTGGAAAACACTGCAGTGAATTTCAAAATGCTAATTTTAATTTGATTCCTAATTACTCTTTAAAATGTAATGAGTGAACGAATCTTTTTTTTATGGTGCTTTCCACTATACTGAATGAAGAAATTTATTGGATCAATGAATTAGTGCAATGATCTATGTTTTGTAATTTCTATATCACTTTATTTATATACTAACACTGGAGGCCATTGATTTTGTTTAGAAGTTATATTTTTATAGTAAAGTATTGATTCATTAATACATAAAATAGTATATTAAATCATGGTTTTAGTTTGGAATTTATCCTGTTTTTTTTTGTAAAAGAAGTAAAATTTCATTGTTTTTTAATGAATATAAAATGTTTCTCTTGGTTTGCAGCATTGTAAGATATTGTAAGAGAATAATTTATTGTTTAAGTTTCATTACAAATATGGTACTACTAATGCCACCACAATTTTTGCTATTACCACCACATCTTCATGAAATTTTTAATTCAATTTTAATCAAAAATTTCTTCTTTCTACTTCTAAAACAACCATTTTATAATAAATCAATACATAAATTTGAAATATAAACAATTGTTTTTGATTGGCACAAAGAAAAAGAAGAAGAAAAAGAAAAAAAATGTTAATTGGGTGGAAAATCGTAGTAGCAATAGCAAAAGTTGTGGTGACATTAGCAAAACCCTATAGTACATAAAAATAAAGGGAATTGTTAAATTGACTTAGGCATTTACTAAATTCATCTACTCATCCTAACCATTATCAAAAAATTCTCTATTGTTGGATCTGCAAACCAATAGAAATAGAAGCTCAAGAAATTTATATAGTTATTATAAATATAACTTGTTTGAGATATTTTTTCAATGATCTTAACTTAATATCTTGTTATTTTTTTTTAATATAATGACTACAATATATTTACATTTTTTTTTAAAAATAATTACATGACTTTTATTGGTGCTTTGAAATGTTCGACTTCTTAAATTGGGATAATGATTTTTTAGTTAAAATAAAATTTTACCTAATTTTTTCATGAAAATCATTTTGAATTCTTTAATTTTTTATTTTAACATATAAATCCAATTATTATGCCTCATGATATGTTTTAATTTGTATTTAATAGATACAACCTTCCAATAAATAACCAAACATAAACATATAACATTTCTGAATATTGAGACAACCAAAAAAAATACAAATAGTTTGAATAAAATCATGTATATATCTTTTTTTTATTTGCTTTGTCATTAAATACATTTATTAGCATTTTATACTTTTTCATCTAAATCTACTCTGCAAATTTGCATAGAATTTGTTTTTAATCAAAAAATAAAGTAGAAAAAAGATAATGTATTACAGTTTTTATTATTATTATTTATTGTTGTTGAAAACTGACAAAAAAAAAATTTACTTTTTTGATATTTAAGACATACGTACATAAATACATAAATACATAATAAAATACACATGTGAATGTGTGCATGGACGTGTATATAAATAAAGCTTTATTGTGAGATATAAAATTTATTATAATTTTCACTTAAATTCAAATTAAATGAAAAAATTTGGAAATTTAAGCATTATAACCTTTGAAGTTTATAAAAAAATTATACTGCTGAGAACTTTGACTTCCATTGTTTTTTGTTCCCGGCTGATGTGGCATGTTGGGTATTTTTTATCCTTTCAATCAAATACACTAAAATTCACGATTTTTCTAAGACTTATTTTAAGCATAATAAGGAAAATAATCTTATTAGAGTTTTAATAGTAATACTATAATTAACATTAACCTCACGAAACAGGAAATTCAAATAACATAATCTACATTAGTCAAAACGTGTATTATTGAAGACTGAGTTGGATGGAAGTTCATCGCTTCCGTGAGAAGAATGGATGAATGTCGACCACTCTGGTAGGTGACGGAGTCCAAGCACGGCGAGAGGCCACCGCACGAAGACGACCGCAGACGCGCGGCTCTTTGCTCGCCGTTGTCTTCGCCGTCGAGTTGTGAGTCTGCGGCGTTTTGCTGCGAAGGTGGTTACTATATTCATGCGTGAGCACCCAGGATCACCAATGCTTCGGATCGGCGGCGTCTCAAATGAAGCCACTGCTGAAACAGGTGCGTCCAGCATCAGTTTGATATCGACACGTGCGATTACTCAACTTCCTGGGCATAGATTCCACGGCATAAAATCGTTGGTCCTGATGCGATGCTGTTGCAAGCAAAGATCGCTGGAATCCATGGCAGCCTACAGCGAGGGGGTGGTACTACAGGCGATTGTGAACAGTAAGGAATTCGTGAGCGAAAAGCCGTGTAGGGGTCAGTTCCCTGCTTGAGCCATGTAGAGAATTCGAGGGCCCACGTGAGATAAAATTGAGACTGTGTGAGCGATTCTAGAGTTGTCCGAGTCTGGAGATCACCTGGGGTCATCCTGGAAGCGAGATTCGGTCCCAAACCTATTGCCCCGACAGTCGGCGATTTTTGGGCATGTTTTGATGGGCTTAGTTTTTTAATAATTTTTTATTTTTTGTTTTTATTTTTTTGTATCGTAGATGCTATAGGCTACATCTGAAAACGGGAAATACTGTATTACCGTTCTCTGCAACAAATCTGAGACTAAAGATTAATGACTTCTTTTTCCTTATCCCTGCGTAAGATCGCCGGTGAGATGCGCAGAGAAGTAGCACGCATCAAACTATTTATCCAATGCAGCTGTGTCAAAGCATACCACGTCCAACTTAATTGCCACCCTAAAAGACTCCAACGAGTGAAAGTTGCAGGTCATGAACTATCTTCGAGAAGCCGCAATTCTGCATGACTCCATGAGGAACCCGGCATGCTCCAAGTAACCGCTAATTTGTGTAGCTACCAGAGGCGAATGAACGCAAGACCATGTAGTTTGTGCGCTTCAAGTTGTGCAATCCTGTCGAAGGAAATGATCCAATTTGCAGAGATAGTCGAGTGCACAATCTCGCGGATCTCGAAACACCCACCTAGACAAAATAAAAAGGTGTCATGGACATGGTCTTGCAAGTGACTCAAATTACTTCAGTGACGTCCCAACCGATGTATGTCTAGCCTCTTCGTGAAACCCAGCCGAATCGGCTGCAAAACAACGCTGTCACTCGGCCCTCCCTCACAGAGCCTGCAATTGCCAGGATTTACACCCTCATTGTTGCTGTGCACATGTACTTAACAGCGGAGATATCAGCTCACTGATATTATTTACCATTCTCTGCATGACTTTCCATTTACACTACCAATGCATAGTTAGTTGATACATAGTGGTTGGTAGTTCAAGTTTCGATAGTTAAATTTAGGAATAATACTTCTTTTACTATGTTGGCATTCCCTTGTGCCATGTTATCATTACATTAGCTTTAGAAGATTTTCAACAAGTTGGATATTAATGAGGTACTGAAGGTATAAAAAAAATAACAAAACATAATAAAAATCCACAATAAAAGATCACAAAAGATAAAAAAATAAAGAAAAGTGTCTACCTAGTAAATATTTTGTTTTTACTATTAGGTGGACATCTACCATTGATTATTCATTTTATTTAGCTTTTGTATTGC